CGTGTTTGCAGTTGCAGGTAAAGCCATGGGAAGGATTGTCTTGTGGTTAAAGCACGGGCCTGGGTATCAGGAGTCCTTGGCTCTATTCAGCTGGGCCACCAACTTGCTGTGTGACAATGGGGGAGTCACCTAACTTCCTCATGCCCTGTAGTAAGTGACACCACTTCCCTTCCTCAGAGGAGTGGGGAGGGGGAATTGAGGGCTGTCAGCTGCTAGGGTTTCTAAAGTGCTTTGAGATCCTTAGATAGGAGAGCAAAGTTCATTATTTCTTGCCATGACTCAATCCTGCAGGGGATGGGGGCTTTGGAAATACAACACGAGAGATCATTTCTCTCTCTGGTACTTTGTCATTTACTAACTGTCCAAGGTGCGTGGGCTAGTTCTCTCCTTATGATCCCTCTCGAGTGGCTTTTTCACCCCAACCAACCCATTAGGATAATCATCGTAATGCCTCCAAGGGGGGCGGGGGCAGCCCTCACTGTGGGCTGAGTGGGGACCTCAACCTTCTGCATCATGTTGCCAAGCAACACTTCTGCAGGCCTCACCATCACATCTGGTATCCATAGTGACATCTCTCCCCAGTGCAGAGATACTGGACTAGCCGAGTTTGCTGTGTGAAGAAGCTGGAGCCTTTTGGCCTGATTCTCCTCTCTCACACAGGTGGAAAGGGGCGTTGAATTATGCTGGGTGGAAGAGCAGGGTGAGAGGAGGGCGATTCCCCTAGAATTTTCCTTCTGGTCTAGGAGTAATACTAATACCCCATCAGGGCTCACGCTTAATCACAGTCTCTCTCTCTCTCTAGTACTTAACATCATGGCACCAGTTACCTACCACAGCATCTGAGCACTGCACAATCTTTAAGGTATTTACCCTCTCCGCACCCTTGTGAAGCAGATCGTTACCCATTTTACAGAATGTGAAGGGGAACTGAAGCCCAGAGAGACTAAAATGCCTAGCCTGAATTGAGGAAAGGTTTATGCAAAGAGATGCCTTTTGCATTGTGTTGTAAAGCCCCGTGGAAGTCAGTGAGTTCTAAGGGCTTTGGAATCAACCACGAGTTGATTCTGGTCTCCTGCTGCAGAGAGTTCCACAGGTGGACAAGATAGCTTTGCCTCCAGCACATCTGAGCTTTGTTATCCCTGTGGATCTTAGTCCCCTAACACAGGATATAGCAATCATCTAATATTTTTTGTCCCATTTTGCCCCATTATAATTGCTGTCAGGCAGGGCAGTCAAACCGTTCTGAATGTGATGTCAAATTCTGAGTGGTTGCTTGGCTCATCTATAGCAATGGATAAATGATATAACCCACTTAATCTGCATTCCAGTTCATTGAAAGGGGAGCATTGGTGTCATTCTGTTGTTTGCTAACTGTCGGCTTTTGTTAGCACACTCATTAACACAGAGGGATATTTAATAGCAAGGCCCAGCTGTCCAGAGAACTGTATACTCTGGCTGTCACCAAACCATCAGGTCAGATCTGCTCTTATCCAGCTGCCCCTCTCCCTGTAGGAGGCTGTACTTTAGGAGACTTCTTCAGAAAAAGCAACGCTCCTCTTGATTAGCCAAACTTGCTGGGGACAGAGGTTTCAAGGCAGGCCTGGAGTCAGTGAAAAGTGGTATGCTCCCAAGAGCAAAGTGATGCTGCCACCTTCTGGGCAAGGTGGTGTAATTGCCTTTAGAGGAAAACTTTTAAGAAATCCTGTTGGGAAAACTTCGCAACTGGAGGGGGCTGAGGTCTGCGAGAGGCTCTCAGTGGTTTTAATTCAAAGGGGCTTACGGGGCGCTCTTTAATCTTGTTTCATTCCCTATGGGTCTGTGGTCACTCTGAGTTTGTTTTGAGCAAAGGCCAGAACTAGAAGAGAAACGCAGTTGAAACTAGTGGCCATCAACTGTCCCAGGCTCACCTGAAACTTGGACCTGCTGCTCGCTCTCTGGTTCGTTCACGTGCATGGGCCCTACTTAATGTGTGGAACTCCGTGTGCATGAATTGTTACAGCCGTCTCCTATTGTTTCAAGCATGGTTGCTGCTTCTTTCTGTCCTTCTATCTTTGTGCAAAACTGCAATCCCTACCACCAATAAAGGCACACAGCCAACTTTGTAATGTTGTGATTAGATGTAGGAACTTCTTTCCTGACCCTTGCAGCCAATCAGCTTATTCCCTTGAAGCATGCGCTTTGATTACTTTCACCATAGCTTCTTTAACCCTCCACCCTCACCCCCTGCACTGTATTTAACTCACTAACTTCCTGCAGCAGTGCGTTCCATAAGTTGACTGACCACTGTGTAAAGCAGTATTTCTTCTTATTGTCTTTTAACCCTTTCCCATATTTTGACAACAAGAAGTCCCCCCTCATTAATTTAAAAATAAGCTGATATTTAAGTACTCCGTAAAATGTGTACTTTTAATTTCAAAAGGGCTTGAGATCCCCAGGCAGGAGAGAAATACGAGCCATAAAAATTTAGCATCCCTTTCCCCTGCAAAGCTGGCAGCCACATTTTCCATGCGGCGCTCCAAAACATCTCACTTCCACCAAGCCCACGTTTTGTTTTTCTACTAACAAAGTGAGGTCTGACTCTTGGCTTGGTGATTTGCCGCTGCAGAAGGCGAAAAGAAAAGAAGCTTTCAAGACTCAGTCACTCACAATCTAAACCCATTCAGATGGTCACACTGAAATTCATCAGAAGGGCTTTATGTGCAGCCACTCTCTCGGTAATATACTTTAGCTGGTGTTGAAAGAAATATTATGCCAGGGAGAACCTAATTAAAATCATTAAAATATGCACGGTTATTAAGATACTGGTAAAGATGGAGTTGTCTGAAGAGCAGAATTGATTCACAACTGAAATAATGAAAGCACTGTGGGGTTGATTCACTGTGATTCATGGGGTCATATTATTAGTTGCTCGCTCTCAGTGGGCTTTTTATTATTTATAGCCCGAGCATGGAAGGCGTTGAAGTACACCCCGCTGGCCGACACCCTGAGAGCCCAGGGTGTCCAGATACACACCCTGATCGTGGGAGCCCTGGGCTCGTGGGACCCCCCACAACGAGCCGGTACTGAGAGCATGTGGAGTCGGACGACGCTACGCCCGGCTCACGGTGTCCGACACCATCAGGTGGTCCAGAGACATCAATATGGAACACATCACGGGACACCGTCAATACCACGTTGAGTTATTGAGACCGCCAACCAGGGAAATAACCCACTTCCTTCCCTGACCAACCAAGGGACGCACCCCACCCATGTACTTATTCACTACATTGATACTGACTTGGACTCTTTATACATTCCATGGGTAGCGTACCCGAGCCCCCTTATTCACTGATGCTTTAAAAACTCCCGCACCCCAATCTGGGTCTATGCTGGTTATGTGCTATGTATGTATCTTGTGATCCTTGTAACCAATTCCTGTAATCCCGCATCATTCAAGCTGGACCCCAGATGTACAGTACCTTCCCTCTTAACTTGTGTATATTTAATTGTAAACATTAACTTTAATAAGGTTTTTAATACAACCAAAATCAGGGCCCCCGCTGTGCTAGGCGCTGTACACACACATAGTAAGAGCCAGTCCCTGCCCCGAAGAGCTTAGCCTCTAAACAGACAGGCAAAGAATGAGAGGGGAAACTGAGGCACAGGGCGGTGACGTGTCTTATCCAAGGTCCTACAGCTGGTCAGTGGCTGAGCTGGGAATAGCCCCCAGGCCTCTTGACTCCAAACCCAGCGCCTCATCTACTAGCCCACAACCAAATTCTGTGCCTTCAGTTATTCCCAAATCCTGAGCCTTTTGCTTATTTCACTGTGAATGTTTATTTGGCTGAAAAATAAAAGACATTATTTGCTATTTGTCATCCTAAAAGGAAAAAAAGAGTTGCTTATCCAATCACGGGAGCAGAAAGAATACCACCTGACTTAGGGGACCAGTCACACAACATGAATGATGACCAGTGATATTTTGCGAAGAACTCACAGGTTGAAAATGATCCATCTGGACCATTCGAACAACGGATACAGCTGCTGGCGCTGGGGTCAGCTCATCACTTATGCACTAACCCAGGGAGGAGCAAGCAGTTTGACTAGCTCTGAGGAATAATGACAGCACCTAGCACTTATGTAGCACTTTTCATCTGAAGACCACAAAGTACTTTACAAAGGAGGTCAGCATCGTGACCCCCCACTTGACAGATGGAGAAACTGAGTCAGAATCCCCACAGAGGGGATTCGACTTGCCCAAGGTCACCCAGCAGCAGAGCCAGCCTTCCTGAGTGCCCAGTCCAGTGCTCTATCAACTGTGATCAATGGAACCTAACCTTTGAATGAGGCTTCCTGGCTTCTCTCCATGTGCCATGAGCTGATTGGTTTAGTTAATTTCTCTCTCCAGTGCCTGTTCCTGGAATTGTCACTATGGAAATGCACAGCCAATCCACCCAATCAGACCTGGTTAATGCATGCCAGGTTTCTCCGCATACCTGCTTTTCTGGATGGCTTTAAACAAGGACTCAGTCTGATTCTCCAACATGGACTGCTCTCTGGGCTGCCGGCTGCACTGAAGAGAAAGCGCCAATGAGATACTGTCATGGAAGAGATCGGAGACAATGTGTCAGATGGATTCCTTTCAAAAGGTTAGGATAAGATTTTCCCAGGCTCCCTCCTGGATGGTCTAAACTTTGGGATTTTATGTTTCCACCAGTCTTTGCTGCACAGAGGGGGACACTGAGGCACAGAGCAAGGAGGTGAGTTGCTCAGGGTCAAATGGCAACTGAATCAAGTACACCTGACTCCTCATAGCCCAGTGCCCTCCCTACTGGACTGAGTGAGGCTTGACTCCATAGAGGTAAACATAAGGGCACATCACAATGGTTTTATTGGGGAAAATATTGTTCATGTGTGGGCTGATCCCCAAAGCTCCGTCCGTGGCGTGGAGGATAAGTCCCAAGGACGGCGTAATAACAACACCATTTTGAAACTGATGCTGTTGGTAGCTGGTGGGACTGTTTGGTTTTCTTTTGTACAAACAGGCAGCAATTACTGTTTTACGAGTCCATAGGTGGTCTTCACTTTTGGAGAGTAGCTATTCTTGTTGCCTCCTTCCCATTGAAAACATAATTAGTGTGGGAGTCAAAGATGGCATGGAAATGCTCTGCAGAACACAAGGGGCCCGTTTCTGAGTGGGCATGAATGTGGTTACTTAGACCCCCAAGGTGATATGTGCCAAGGGACCAGCCTAAAGTAGGTAGATATTTCAACCCTGCAAACTAAGCAGAGGACAGTATTCGTTTTCCTTAGTGCATTTCATGGGGTGAAAGGTGTGACTGTGTTGGGAAGTCAAGCCAATTGATTAACTAGGGCACAGTATGGGCAGTGGCAAGACAAGCTTCCCCCGGTGTTCCACTAGCCCTGACCTGAAATGAGCACAAGTCCGATCTGAAACATGTCTATGAGTTTCTCGACCTCCTGGCTGAGACCCGCTGTGATGGTGGACACCTCTTCTGTACAAACGGAACTGAGACCCCCACAGTGCATTTCACAGAAACTGTAAGTTGCTAACAACTTCCAGTCACTAGTGACCTGGGCAGAGAATGTTACATTAAAAATACCTGGAGGGTGTTTGCAGTTATAGACATCTGGACTCTCCTGTCCCTTATTCACTGGCTGAACAGGCAGATCAGGATGTGGGTCTCTGGGGGATTTAAAGACGTTGCCCAATCTTTGAAACTAGATGCACCAGTCCTACTCCAGAGGGCTGAGCAAGGCTTGCTTGAGCCTGTCTGTTCCTGCTCAGAACTAAGTTACCTTATTATTGCAAAGAACATGCTGTGCATGATTTCTGTTCATCAGGAAAGTACACGACTAAGTCCCCAGAAACCCTGCACAGACCAGCCCTTGTCTCGCAGGGCCCTCCCTTTCAGATGATGGAGGAATTTTCACGTGCGTCACATGAGAAGAATGACATTTCCCCATCTTGTTACATTAACAATACCCTGGGACTGAGGCCTATGGACTCTAATCTGCCTCCTGGAAGAGACTCAATGACAGGTGATTCCTGGAGGCAAATACAGAGGCTCGTGTGTGGCAGCTCCATGACTATGGAATATCAAGCTAATACGGATTTGGCTTGGCCAGTCTTTTATCTGTTTAACCATACACAGTACGGCCAATCCCAAGTGTTCAAAAGTCACAGCCACAAAATTCAAGAGCTTGACTTAAAAAGTGACGTCATTTAAGAAAAATCAGGCTCACCCTTGTGCTGAGCGGTGGCAGAATTCTGGGGCCTTAGCAGGTTGGCTTCAGAGTGGAGGAGAAACCAGGGACATGGAGCATGGGTATATTCAGTATATAATTTGCTTTGTTTGCATATACACCTGATTCTGGAACAGAGGCAGTCACAAATCGGAGGCAGGCAATCCTCTGGGCCAGGAACTACACACCCATAGCCCATGAGCAGGAAGCTACTTCATCCCAAGAACTGATCCTAGTTAGAGAGATTCAGGTGGACAGCAAACTCTCTAACTCAGTGGTTCCCAAAATTGTTCTGCCGCTTGTGCAGGGAAAGCCCCTGGCGGGCCAGGGCCGGTTGGTTTACCTGCTGCGTCCGCAGGTTCGGCCGATCGCGGCTCCCACTGGCCGCGGTACACCGCTGCAGGCTAATCGGAGCAGGGAACCGCGGACAGTGGGAGTCATGATTGGCCGGACCTGTGGACGGGGCAGGTAAACAAACCGGCCTGGCCAGCCAGGGGCTTTCCCTACACAAGCGGCGGCCCCAGTTTGAGAAACACTGCTCTAGAGTCATATGGACAGGCTTTGCTCCACAACCATGAAGGTTAGGAGCTTTGGTTTTTAAATGCAAGTTGAGAGTCTCAAACAATCACATGAGTCCAGGAGTAGGAGCTTTAAAGAAAACACCAACTTTTGTGAGCATTCTGGAATTTTGTGATAATTCTGGAATTTTGTGACTAAAATCTGGAGTGTTGGCAATGCTGCCTACAGTTGCTGAAATGGTTGAACTACTTTATTATCTCCCAGTTCTCAATCTTACATTAAAAAACAACTGTTTTATCATTAAATACATATCCGTACCCTGTGTCGTCCTGCTACATCCTGCTTTCTTTGTCCGCTTGAAAATAGCAAAACTCGGAGGAAGTAGCACATGGGAGCAGCTGCCCGAAGGAGGCAAATTTGCTGCTCCCGCTCTCTACTTTTGTATGAGGAGCCAGCCGAGGAGCAAGATCAGTCCTGTGCACTGTGCATCTGCTACAGCTTACTAAAGTCTGGTCTGGTGGTTCCCTTGGGAGCAGAGGCTTCACAAACTCTCCCTAGAACTCCCTGCAGTGAGAGATGGTTGGCACTGGGTTGGTTTCCTTGCATGGAGAAACACTTTTCAGGGCATCCAAACAGGGCCTTAGGGCAGGATTGTGCAGGCCCCATCTCCATGTGTAGCACTGATCTGCCATTGACTCTTAGGGGAGCTCAATCCACTGATGAGATACAGGGCTGAACCCAAACTGGGATGCACCCAACTTTGCAACACCAAGGGGTACGATGGCCATTTTCCAGGAGTCCAGGGCCTGCACCGAAGTTGCTTGTAGACTGGTGTGCGTTTAAAAGTCTGGAGTAAATGCACATGGCCTCAATATTGACTGGGAACTGCATTTTCCATGCTGGAGGAATAAACTTCCTTGTTGCACAAGTTAGCCAGCTCTTGCTCGGATGCATACTCACCTTTCAGAAAGTGCACAACTGAGGGCCACCTTATATTTCAGGCTGGTTACAATGTTCTCGGAGCACATGTTTGTTCTGTTGATTTTCTGGCTGTATAGAAATATTTTATCTTCTCTTGTTAGTGTTACCGGGACTCTTGAGGTGGCAAGACCTTTCTGACTAACACCTCTATTTCTTTGCTTTGCTGATCCCCGTGCCACCATCTTATCCATCGCATATGCATTTGGAGGGATCTCTCATCTCCCTGACAGGTCTGATGGACAGGTCTGTAGGAGAGACTGGCTGGCCGAAACGACTTGCTGGGAGCTATTTGCTGCTGTCATTCCAACCTCTTTGCCTGAAGAGGTAATAAAGATGAAAGCCAATAATAAGCAGTCAGCCATCAGTTTTGTAAAAGGCAATAATTTAGTTCTATTTCGTGGTTGCAGGGAGTCCATTTGAGGTTGCTGTTATTGACAGTAAAGCTCTATGTTTTGTTTCTTAAAGTACTCGTGAGCGTTCAGAGCCTTTGAAGGCCACATTTTTTCAAATCTAAAAATATACAACCGGTGGCCAATTCTCAACGCTGCAGAAGAAAGGAGAAGGATTTATGTTCAGAATCCTACTGAGCTGTAAGAAACTTACAAGTACAGACAGGACTGGAAAACCGAGAATGCAACTAGCAGTAAAGGAAAGTTCCATTGCAAGAGGCCAGAATTGGTGTCATTCGGAGTAGCTCCATTGAAGCCAGTGGAGCTTTGCAGATTTACATTTCCCTGAGACTCCTCTCCCAGGAACGTGGTGCCTTGAAAGCCGAGTCTGATTTTATTTATACGAGTAGAATTCAGCAGTGACTCTACTGAAGCCAGTGGAGTTTCACTGGGGTAAAACTGATGTGAATAAGAGGAGAATCTTCTGCTGTCATGGCCCAGTTGACAGGGCATGCGCCACGGATTTTGAAGATTAGAGCGGACTGTGCAATTTGAAATTCAAGTTGCATCCGTTTGTTACATTCGGTGCATGTGCTACATAAGCTAGTTACCACCTGTCAGTCACGGTACTGCCCACAATGCACAGTTCCAATAGTCTGCAGACCAAGAACCAGTCACGGCAGCAATCCATGAATAATTTTGAATAATAAATA